AAATAAGAAGAGGCGCCATGAAATCTGGGGAAATATCATGCCCCCAGCCATGATATCCACCCCCCCCTAGTCATCACCCCCCTCTTTTCCGCCCCCGATCTCAGGGAGGCCCCCCCCCCGCGGCCTCCAGAGCGCTCCTCGCGAGGCCCGGGCGGGCCGCAGGGGACTTCCAGAGTGGCGCGAGAGGAGCGGGGTGCACCTTGAAGGCCAGGGGGGCACCCTCGGCGGCCCGCGAGCCGGAGGCCCCCGTGGAACCAAAAGGAAGAGTCGCGCCTGCCGCCCCGAGGGGTCCCGGCGAAGGCCCTCCACGGGCCCTCCTCACGGGGTGGAGCGGCGGCCAGCGCGGCGCAGAAGCTCCCCCGTCCTGCTTGAATCCTTTTCCTGGCAGGGGCTTCGAAGAGCTTCTTGCGATTGCGCCGCTGTGCAGAACTACTGCACAGAGCCGAAACACCAAATTATATCAAATCTTGTTTTGACCAATTTCTAATATGAACGGCTGGTTTGGTGTATCGGCCTGCCTCGGGGCCTGTGAGCGCACGGCAGCGCCTCTGGGGGGGAGGGGCCGTGAAGGGCGGGGGGGGGGGGGGAGCAGCCGGGGGCCCCGCCCAGGGCCCGAGGGTGACCAGGCCCAGGAAGGCGGGCCTGCCAGGGGGGGCCATTGGGGGGCGAGAGGACGCGATGTGGCGGCGCGCGGACGGGGCTACAGGGGGAAGGCTTCTTGGAGGGAGGCTGCTTCCTAGAAGGCACGGGGCCTTGCATGTAGAGGTTCGGCCCGCGCCTTCCAAGCAGCAGCCTCCTTTTTAAGAAGCCCTCCCCCCTCCCCCTTAACCCCCTCTGCGCGCGGCCGAGCGATGGGGGCCAGGCCATGGGGGCCATGGGGGCGGGCCATCGGGGGGCCTGCGGGAGAACCGGCGAGGGCGTGGAGCCAACGGGGAGGAGGGCGAGCTCGAGAGGAAACTGCCCCCTGCTGGCGCCAGAGACACAAAGGCAAGCGCCGTCCAACAAACAATCGGCCGCCCCACAAACAACACATACCTATACGACCACCCTTCGGGTGATAAGGAGGTTCGGGGGGGAGGAACCAACGTCTCACTCGATCGGTCTCACTATCGATCTCACTATCGATATCACTATCGGTCTCGCTCGATCTCACTCGATCGATCTCACAATCGATCTCACTTTATCTATTTCATTTGATCGATCTCACAATCGATCTCTCAATCGATCTCACAATCGATCTCACTATCGATCTCACTATCGATCTCACGTCCGGTCTCACTATCGATCTCACTATCGATATCACAATCGATATCACAATCAACGTCATCATTATCAAGATCATCGTCATCAACGTCATCAACATCATCATCATGATCAGCATCATCATCGGGACACCATCACCATCATCACCCCATCACCATCATCATCAACATCATTATCACCCCCATCATCATCATCATCATCATCATCATCATCATCATCATGATCATCATCATCATCGGGGCACCATCATCGTCACCATCATCATCAACATCACCATCGGGACACCATCATCATCACCGGAACACCACCAGCATCATCATCATCATCATCATCATCATCATCATCATCATCATCTCATCATCACCATCATGAACAGCATCATCAACATCTTCATCATCACCGGGACACCATCACCATCATCAGCAACATCATCATCATCGGGACACCATCATCATCGCCACCATCATCATCACCTGCATCATCATCACCTGCATCATCATCATCGGGACACCATCATCATCATCATCATCAGCATCATCATCATCATCATCAACATCAGCATCATAATCATCACCATCATCGGGCCACCACCATCAACATCATCATCACCTCATCATCATCCTCATCATCAAGAACACCATCATCATCGGGAAACCATCATCGTCATCATCATCAGCATCATCATCGGGACACCATCACCATCATCAGTAACATCATCAACAGCATCATCATCAATCTCATCATCATCATCATGATCATCATCATCATCATCATCATCATCATCATCATCATCATCATCATCGGGACACCATCATCATCATCTTCATCATCTCACCATCAACATCATCATTATCATCATCAACATCATCATCATCATCGAGACACCATCCTCATCAGCAACATCATCATCATCAACAACATCATCATCATCATCATCATCATCATCATCATCATCGGGACTCCACCATCATCACCACCGACACCATCATCATCACCATCAACAACATCGTCAACCGCATCATCATCGGGACACCATCATCATCACCACCATCACCATCATCATCATCATCATCGAAATCACCGACATCATCAACATCATCATCATCATCACCATCATCATCATCATCATCATCATCATCATCATCATCATCATCATCATCATCATCATCATCATCATCATCATCATCGGGACACCGACGGGACACCGGCGGGACACCGGCGGGACACCGTTCGGCACCGGTCCCTGGAAAGGAAACATTTGGTCCAACCGCGCCTCAGCCGGAGGCGGGACACCGGCGGGACACCGCGCGGCACCGGCCCCCGGAAAGGAAACATTTGGTCCGACCGTGCCTCAGCCGGAGGAGACTTTCTTCTCGCCCGCCCACGCAGCTTCGCCTCGCCCGCACGCACGGCACGCACGAACACGAAACCGAAACCGATTTCCCGGTAGGGGGGCTCTCCGTTCCACTTCGATCTCACCCCCTCACCTCCCATCTACGAAGCAACACCGATAGCAGATGCTGGATCAAGTGCAAATCCTTTCTCTTGAACGGATGCACAGGACAGGTCCGCTGACTCTATCTTTCTCTCTGCTGCATTGGTTCGGGCTGGACTGATTCTGTGATGGTCCCCGGGCCAGCCAGCTGGGCGAAAACGCCCCGCGTGGACAAGCATGTCCCACAGAGCCCCCAACAACAACCCACTAGAAACAAGGGCTCCCAACTTCGCGCTTCGCGCTGCGCGAAGCGCCCTCGAGGGCGCCCTTGTAGAGATCTGGTGGGTGTCGCGTAAATCCCTGGCCAGACCGTTGCGAGCCTGTGGGCGTCGGCTCCCCAGCATGCACACAGCGAGCAGAAACTACAGCTCCCTCCTCCCTGCAGCCTTCCGCCTCTTGTCCCTCTCTGCCCTTCCCTCCTCCTCCTCCTCCCCCTCCTCCTCCTCCTCCTCCTCCTCCTTCCCTCCTCCTCCTCCTCATCCTTCTCCTCCTCCTCCTCCTCCTCCTCCTCCTCCTCCTCCTCCTCCTCCTCCATCCCTCCTCCTCCTCCTCCACTCTCCTCCATCCCCTCCTCCTCCTCCTCTTCCACTCTCCTCCATCCCCTGCTCCATCTCTCCTCCATACACCCCATCTTGGTCCTACTCGAGCCCGTTCCGTTGTAATTGCCCCTCCACGTCGCACCCCGAGGCGTGCCGGCAGGGCGTGCCGGGCGCTTCGCCCGAGACTACCTCACCATCTGTGATCCTCACGACGGACATCTGCAAGATCTCCTCGGGTGGAGGGCGGGCCGTTTGCTTTTTGTGGCCCTCGCCTTCGCGCCACGCACCTTCGTCTTAAAGGTCGCAAGAGGTTCACGAAGGGAAGGCGGGCCAGTTTGAAAATGTTGCTCTCGCCGCTCTCGCCTCAGCGCCGCGCGCACTGGTCTTAAAGGTTGCAAGAGCTTCACGGATGGAGGGTGGAACGTTTTCAAACTGTGGCTCTCGCTTGAGCGCCGCACACCTTCGTTTGAAGATTGTACAACCGTGTCAAGGATTCTCACAGCTGATGTCCCAGGAACGGCGTGTTGGTACGATGTCGGGCTGCAAGGGCGCGTCCGTTAATTTGATTTGAAGTGTTGAAGTCCCAGATACGGCGTTATGGTTCGACTCGGGACTGTCGGGGCGAAACAAGAAAGGTGATTCGTGGCGTTGGAGTCACAGGAATGGTGCCCTGGCGCACTTCAGGATCTTCAAACATTGTCTTCCAACGGGGCACTCCTTCCTGTGAGAATGATTCCTTGCTGGGACATATGAAGAAGGGAGCTTGGAGGGAGGGTGTGTTACAATGTCTTTGACGGGTCCTGGGTTTACACTGGTCCTCCTACTCCTCTTGCTCTCTCGCCCTCATCACTTCCCTCCGCCACCACTTTCTCATGGCTTCCCCTCCCTCCTCCTTCTCCTCCTCATCCTCCTCCTCCTCTTCCTCCTCTTCCCCATTCCCCTCCCCCTTCACCTCCTATTCCCCCTGGCAGCCAGGGGCCACCGAGCAGCCCCTGATTCGCCCAGAAAGACAGCCCCGCCCCGTCTCCAATCAAAAACACTATGTGGATTTCGTCGTCCTCCTCCTCCTCATCCTCCTCGCATTCCTCCTCCTCCTCCCTCCTCCTCCTCCTCCTCCTCCTCCTCCTCCTCGTCCTCGTCCTCCTCCTCCTCCTCCTCCTCCCCCTCCCCTTCCCCAAGCTCCTCCTCCTCCTCTCCCTCCTGCTGCTCCCCCTCCTCCTCCTCATCCTCCTCCTCCTCAGCCTCTTCCCACGCGTGGGCCTCATTTTCGGATCGGCGAGTTGCTCCCCACGTTCAGAATTGCTCATGGTCTTGCTGACCCGCCACCTCCTCCTCCTCCTCCTCCTCCTCCTCCTCCTCCAATGCACGCAGCTCCCCATTCTCCGATTGCGCAGAGCACTGGGTGCTCTTTCCGTGGGAAGCGCAGATCGGCCATGACACGCGCCCGCGGATATAGATGTATATATATATATGTATGTATGTATATATATACACACATATATATAGATAGATAGAGAGAGAGAGAGAGAGAGAGAAATCGGCGCCAGGGGAAGGGAAGGGGGGAGGGATAGGATGTCAGGCGAGGCGCGAGCGCACATAGCCTGTCCTCCTCCATTCCCCCCCCGTTCCCCCGCTTACGCATGGCGCGGCGGGAGCGAGGGCGTGCTTGCGCGCCCCCCCCCCCCCCCGCCCCCGCGCGGCGCCTCCTGGGGCAGCGCCGCAGCGAGAGCCTGCAGGCGGAACGCCCTCCCACTCATCCCCTCCCTCCTCATCCCCTCCCTCGTGCTCGTCGTCCTCCTCCTCCTCCTCCTCCTCCTCCTCCTCCTCCTCCTCCTCCTCCTCCCCTCCTCATACCCCCCCCCCCTCCTCCTCCTCGGTCCTCCTCCTCCTCCTCCTCGGTTCCTCGTCCTCCTCCTCCTCCTCCTCCTCCTCCTCCTCCTCCTCCTCCTCCCCCTCATACCCCCTCGTCCTCCTCCTCCTCCTCCTCCTCCTCCTCCTCCTCCTCCTCCTCCTCCATCCCTCCTCCTCCTCTCCTCCCTCCTCCTCCGTCCCTCCCTCTACTCCCTCCTCTCCTCCCCCATCCGCCCTCGATTTCTCAGCTGCATAATCGTCCTCGTTTCTTCTCCCCCATCGTACTCCTCTCCATCCCTGTGCGCGCGCGCGGAGCGGGGAAAAGAGGGGAGAGAGGAGGAGAGGGAGGAGGGGAGACGGATGAGGTTGGTGAGGGGGGGGGGGAAGGAGGAGGAGAAGGAGGAGGAGGAGGAGGAGGAGGAGGAGGGGCGGAGGAGGAGGGAGGGAGGAGGAGGGAGAAGAGGAGGAGAGAGGAGGAGAGGAGGAGGAGGTTGAGGAGGAGGAAGAGGAGGAGGAGGAGGAAGAGGAGGAGGAGGAGGAAGAGAAGGAGCTGGAGGAGGACAAGGAGGATGAGGACGCATGAGGCGGGCGGGAGCATGTCTTTTAAAGGAATATGATGCCCTGATGGTTGACGCTCGCCGCCCACTGAACTCCGGGGGCACCACGAGCACGACTCCGAGCTCTGAGGCATCCCATGAGCGGTCTCACTGCCAACGCACCTGCGTTTTCCGCAGCTCACACACACACACCTAAATGTGTAGAAGTATACATACAGATGTATGCATAATCCATATACGTATCTTAATTTGTGTGTATATATAAAAGGATTGCGAGCCCTGTACGAACTGGAGGAAGCAGACTACATACAACAGTCGGGACACCAAGGAACTCAGTTTATCGCCCACTCCTACCACGTGCCCGTGCAATCGCAGCATCGGGGAAGTGATGCGGGCAGCATTGATCGGCCAACATCGTTCCACGCGCTGCTTCCGCTGCGGCCGCCGTCGCCCGAGGTCGCGACAGAGAGATCCCAAACCGACATGTTCCTGCGGAGCGGCGTTGGCTGCCGACCCACGGCGGCGCGGCCCGCGCACCGGACCGTCGAGCGCCGCCCCGCCCGCGTCGCGCTCCTCCGCGAGCGCGCGCCCTCCTCGGCCGCCCGATGGGGCCCCCGAGCCAGCCGCGGCGGCAGCGGCGTGGCGAGAGAGGCCGCTCCCGCGCGGCCCGCGGGCACGCTGCGGCGCGCTCGGCGCCGCTCCTCGCGGGGCCCAGTCCTGCGGCGGAGCCTGCGGCCGGGGGGGCCGCGTGCGCGGCCCTGAAAGGCGCTGCTGCAGGCCACGGCCGCCGCGCGTGCGGCGGACGCGGAGCTCGGCCCCGCTCCTCGCGGGGCCCCTCCCGCGGAGCCCCCCTCCCGCGGGGGGCCCGCCCTGAGGGCCCCGCGGGGCCGCCGGGCCCTCGGCGGGGGCCAAAGAGCCGCACGGCCGACGCTCCCGCGGGCCGCAGCCGCCACGACCGCGCGCCGCCTGCGCCGCGCGCGGCGCCCTCTGCGCAGGCGCCCCCTGCACGCTGGGGCGGAAGCTGCCGCCTCCGCGCGCAGCCCCGCAGTCGGCTGTGCGCGAGAGTGACCCCGGGTAAGAGTGACCTTTGGTGCGCGACTTTCTGGGGGCCGCGGGGGGACCAAACCTGGGCGCGCAAGCAGCTGCGACTGCCTCGTTTTCAGCCACCTGGGTCCCCATAGGTCACTCCGGCGAAAGGTCACTCTTACGTCTAGTCGACGCAGGCGCCCCTACGTCCGCGCGTGGCTGCCCCGGCTCCACGCGCAGGGCTCGTGGCGAGCTCCGTCGCCCGCCGCGTTGGCGCCCATACGTACTCCTCTCCAGCAGGGCCGCCTCGGGCACCGGGCACGAGGCCGGCTGTCTCCCACAGGGCGTCGCCGAGTCGATGCCGATGACGCCCGAGCCCCTCGTCGAAGCAGCTGTGCAATGATCAACGCCCGCCCCAATGCCTTCAGCCGCGCGCGCTCAACTCCACCCCGAGGTCGCCGTCCGAGTCGAGGTCGAGACCGCGAATCGCCCCGTCGACCGCACGTACCTCCACGAGGAGCAGAAGAAGGAGCAGCAGCAGCAGCAACTTCTGGCGGATGCCAACGAAAAGCCATCCACAATTTCTGCGACCTCTCGTGGCTCTTTACATTATTATTTGGAGCTGCTAGGGGTGACGGGGGTGGAGGAGGGAAAATATTAACTGTGTAGTTAAAATTGGATTCCCGGAGGTGTCAACGGGTTGTCACCGTATGCCCGTGCAGAAACCGTTCACCACACTTCTCTTCTTTCATTTCTCTGATGTGAAGTTCCTCCTTCCCCCCCCCCATCCAAACTTCGAATCATCCTCGTCCTCATCCACCTCGCCCTGCTCCTGCTCCTCCTCCTTCTTCTCCTCCTCCTCCTCCTCCTCCTCCGCCTTCTCCTCCTCCTCCTCCTCCTCCTCCTCCTCCTCTTCCTCCCCCAGTCCTTTTCCTCATTGATAGCTCCTCCATGCCGCACCCCGAGCCCGGTCGAAAGGGCGGGCCCTGCGTTTAGCATCAGACTTCCTCACCATTTATGACCCTGATGCGTTCGAGATGTGGTGGCTTTCAAGACTTCCTCAGCAGTTATGCACCTGATGCGTTCGAAATGTGGTGGTTTTCAAGACTTCCTCACCATTTATGACCATGCTGCGTCGGAGATGTGGTGGTCTTCCAGACGTCCTCACCATTTAGGGCCCTTCGGCTTCACAGCGGGTGGTTTTCAGGATGTGACTCTCGCCTGACCGCCGCGCACATGTGTTGCACAAACATCGGCAAGAGCCTCACGGATCGAGCGCGGGCCGTTTTCAAAAGGGGCCCAGCTTATACCGCCGCACGGGTTGTACGGATTGGGGGCGGGCCGTTTTCACAGTGTGGCCCTCGCCCCAGCGCCGCGCACAGTCTTTTTTCCTGCCAGAGCTTCACAGGCTTGAGGGCGGGGAACTTTGCAGATGCTTCTCTCGCTTCCGCGCCGCGCACACTCGCTGCAGACATTCGCAGGACACTCGCGGACCTGGCCATCGCTCGGACGTCCATTCCCTGTGTTTGTTTCGGTGTCGTGCGTGTTTTTTTTTTTTTTTTCGCCAAGTGATCAGGGATGCTCCTCGATGGTCCTCGCCGAAGGGAAAGGGCACACGTCCGAGCGATGCCAGGGGGCGGATGGCGGATGTGTTTCCAGGCTGCGGCCCTCGCCCTGCCGCCGCGCACCTGCGTTGCAAACATGATCGAGGGCGTCACGCCTCCTTGATGGCGGGTACTCCAGATCTCGTAATAAAAGGGAGGGGGTCTGGACCCTCCAAGACAAGCCATTTCAGACCTCCCCCGTGGGATAACCCTCCAAAACATCGTCCCCAGACCCCCCCAAGGGCCTCCAAGATAGCCTGGAAGAGACCCCCCCGAAATGAGACCCCCCCTCCCTTTATTACGAAATCTGGAGTAAATTTTCGAAATGTGGCTCGCGCCTTAGCAGGAGCTTCACGGAGTGAGGGCGGGCCGTCGCCAAAGTGAGGCTCTCGCCGCAGCGCCGCGCACACTCGGTCAACAGATTTGCAAGGCTTCCACTGGCTCCCGTGAGTAGCATACCGGAACAGATGTTCTGGGGTGACTCAGGATTGTCATGGCGCAACCGTTGCGTTGATTCGCGGTGCTGAAGTCCCAGGAATGGTGTTCTGGCACGATTCAGGACCGCCTTTTCGTAACAGTCAGGTTCACTCGTGGCGTTGAAATCCTTAGAATAATGATTTGGCACTCTTCGAGATGTTCACACGGCGATGCACCTAATTAACGGGACAATTACCTGTGGAAATGACCCCTTGTATGGGGCGTATGAAGAGGGATCCTGGAGGGAGGGTGTACCCCAACATCGTTGATGAGTCTTGGGTTTGCACTGGTCCTCCTCCTCCTCCTCCTCCTCCTCCTCCTCCTCCTCCTCCTCCTCCTTACATCATCCCCTTGTAGACCTCCACCTCCTCAGGCTCCTCCTCCTTCTGCCCCTGCACCTCCTCCTTCTGCCCCTGCAGCTCTTCCTCCTGCAGGGGGGAGGGGGAGGGGGAGGGGGAGGGGGAGGGGGAGGAAGAGTGGGAGGAGGAGGAGGAGTGGGAGGAGGAGGAGGAGGAGAAGGAGGAGGAGGATGATGACCCTGCGTCGACATCCTCCTCTTCCCCTTCCCCCCCGGCGCCCACCGCGGTTTGGGGGGCAGCGCAAGGGGGCAACCCAGGAGCTGCTGGAGAGGCGGCCACCGACGGAAGCCGACGGAGGAAGAGCCTCGAAGAGCCGTGTGAGCCCCGGAAGAGCCCCCAGAGAGCCCCTCTTCGTGCGACTCCAACGGGTGCGGTTTTCCAAGGGTGTGGTTTGCAATCGGCACCCTGGGGGGCACCAGGGGGGCGGGCGGGTGCCTCGATAGAGCTCCCCGCCGCGCCCCGGGGAGGCCCGATGAGGACAGCGCCGTGCCCGCCAGGCCCCCACGGCGCCGCTCGCAAACCACACCCTGGCGTAACCGCACCCTTTGCAGTCGCCGCGGCTCATCAACATTACGTGCTTTCCAGCAGGGCGCTGCTTAGACGAGCAGGCCACATGAGGAAAGGGGCGGGGGAGTGAGGAGAGAAGGAACATGAGAGGGGTGGGGCGAGTGGCAACGTCAGGGGGGGGGGGCCAGCGGGGAAGGGGGAACGTCGAACTTGAATCGGCCATGCATCGCCGATGGATCGGCGAACGATAGGCCCCCGATGCCGTCGACACCGCAAGTTCCTGGGCGTGGCCAGGCTCCCGGGCACCTACAGTCGACCCGTAGCATAAGGCGACAAGGATGCAAGGGCC